ACAGTGACAGAAACATTTAAGAGACGTGGGAATAATGAATCCGATGGATGAAATGATGAAAACCTCCACCTCCATGGCCCTGGAAGCAGAAGAAGAACTAGATGATGCCCACCTACTTCCACCATCTGCTCTGAAAATGACCACATTGGAAGGGCCTGGAGAGGGAAGGAGAAAAAGTATGAAATAAACCCAGAAATCTTAAAAGAGCCCAGGCTTACTGGTCAGATAGGGACTAGTAGGACCCCTAAGACTATAGCCCTTAGTCACCTTCAGGTCTGGAGTTGAACTCAACCCCATGCTAAAATAATCAACCAGTTAAGATCAAAGGGGCAGCATTTACCCAGGAATGAAGTTCAGAGAGTTAGGAAAGCAGGAAGGATGGCAACAGAAAACAGAAAGGAAATAGGGTAAATGATGGTAAATGCTGGGAATGCAATGGATGAGTTGAAATAAGATATGTAGGAAATACTAGAAGTAAAACTGATTTTCTGCTATGTAAGCCTTTACCTAATTCACAGTAAAAAGTTTTTAAAAAAGAACCTAGAGGTATAAACCAAAACCATAAAATTCTTAGGAAAATAAACAGGGGCAATGCTGTCAGGACTAGCCTTCAACAATGGTTTATCTATATAATAACAAAACCACAACTCATTCACTACCATCAAATCAATTATGACTCGTAGTGACCCTTTTGGACAAAAGGGTTTATGAGATTTTAACCTTTTGGCTTATAAGATTTTAAATCTTTACAGGAATAGACAGCTTCACCTTTCTCCTTTGGAACAAGTGGTGGGTTGGAACCACTGACTTTGTGGTTAGCAGCTCAATGCATACTACGCCACTGTGAGGAACAGAAGGATTTCTCTTAAGTTGTCTCCCCCAAATATGTACCAGACTTAGCTGCGTAAGAATGACTGTACAATAGGTGATCGGTGAAAGTAGGTCAGAGGTTATTCTCCTTAACATCAGCCATCTATAGTGGCTAGACTATTAGTCTAACTCACCCTAAATAAGACCCACTCCCTTCTGATAAGGATAGTGGTGGTCTGTTTACTTGCAGGAGATACCAGAGAGGGCAAACCCGCCCAAGGATGACCAAGGTTAGGTAGCCATTATCAGCTGTCTAGATCAAGCAGACACCACTGTTTATTCCCACAACAAATGTGGGCACACCCCTAGGTCATCCCCCTCCTATTGATTGTATTGCCTAGGTCGCTAACCCTCCCTGTGACTTAGGTTATTGTCCACTATCAGGGGACTTGCATGCCTCCCAGAATAGTATGAAAAATCACATTGATTAAGGGTAACACTGTACGCTGATTATTCAATTGGTGTCAGTAGGTTATATAATCTGTAAAACGTTGAATTGGGGAAAGCTGTGTGATTGATAATTTGACAACCATGACCAAAAATAGAAAAAGGTGGCTGCTGACGCTGCTTGGGCACAAATCAAATCTCATGGCACTTGCTTCCCTGGTTGGAGCTGTATCGTCATGCTTTCACAGGACATACCAGTAATTTGCCCAATAATGTAGTTAGTGTTTTTGTTCTACCTCCTTCCATACTGTCTGAGGTCTTAAAACTTTGCAGTAGCCAGCTAAGACAAAACAATTGGTCTCTATTCACAGGGAGCAACAGAGGAAGGAGAGTCAACAGGAGAAGGAGATAGAATGTGTGGTTAACTGCCTCCTTTGCCATAAGACCAGAACTGGATAGCACCTACCATTGTTGAAGAGTGGTAGAAGAATCATGATCAAAAGGGAGAAAATGCAGAACAGAATTTTAAATTCCCATGCATGCTATACTTTCCAGAGTTACACCCACTACTGGGGAATTGATTCTGACTCAGAGGTGCCCTGTCCAGGGTTTCTAAGGCTGGACATCGACTCGGGAGCAGACAGCCTCATACTTCTCTTACGAGCAGCTGGCCACCAACCTTACGAGCAGCTGACCACCAACCGTGCAGTTAGCAGTCTGACGTTCACCTGATGAATCCTGAGACTGCTGCCCTGAGAGCATCTTCAAACCTTAAGCCGCAAAGATTCCCCTGAAGTCTTAAAACTCAACAGCAGTTGAACTTAGCTTGCAAAACAAGTCTGCCTTAAACATTACACTCCTTTAAGATCTATATGGGAACAAATGGACAACAGCTACCCAAAACATTAGGTAGAAACTTCCATGAGTTTATGTTAATGAATGAGAAACTGCCATCAAGCCAATGCTGACTCGGAGTGACCCCCTGTGCATTTCTAAGACTAACCATGACAGGAGTAAAAAGTCCGGCCTTTGTCCCTCAGAACGTCTGGTGGTTTTGATCCGCTTACCACGTGGAATGCAGCCCAACTTGTACCACGACTCCACCGGGGCTCCATTCTGAATGAGAAGCAACTCGGAAAAGGAAGGGGAAAACGGTGTCCAAATCGAAGAATGTACTCAAGAGAGCTGAATTGTATTTGTAGAAATGGGTGAGTGGGCATGTCTTGCTGAGTACATTCTTAACAACAACAAAATAAATGAAATTTAGGAGGGAATGAATAAATAGAATACATTTCATGCCCCTATGCCTCCTTTTCCCTTGCATTTGGAGAATTCAAAACACTTCACAAAACCTCAGGCCGACAGGAAGAAAGCATATTTGTCTGTTTGAATGCAAACTGCCAAGCAAAACCATCATCACTGTGTTCGCTAACAAAATGCCGGGCTGGATGGTGAGTGACGCACAGCTCAGACTATGGGCCAACCTCTAAAGCTTCATCCTCAACTTGAATAAGGTACCTGAGGGATACTTTGTTGAATGGACATTTCACACCGCAGACATTCCATGAGATTTACATTTGGGCTCTGGTGAATACTGAAAGTACCTCGGACTGCAAAAGCAAGAAACAAATCTGTCTCAGAAGAAGTGCAACCAGACGCTCCTTCCAGGAAGGATGGCAAGACTTCCTCCGACACACGTTGGACGTGCAGTCAGGCAAGCACCAGGCTTGACTGAGCAGAGGGGCAGGAAGACGAGAAAGGCCCTCAATGAAACGGACTAACACTGGCTGCAGCAATGGCTCAATCACTACAACTGTGAGGGTGGGGCCGAGCTGTGAAATGTTTCAGAACCAACTCAAGGGCACCGAACAACCGATCTGCCACCTAGATGCCAAAACCACAAGGAGACTTCAAAAAGTTCATGGGAAAATTCCATGAACTTTTCATTCCATTTTTCCATGCACTTTTCAAAGTCACTTTGCAAATAGATGTATACATTTGCATCCAAAGAAAAAATATGTCCAGTTCAGATTGAGCAGCAAAGTTCAAGTAACAATCTTACTCAAGTCCATTCTCAATGTGACCTAATAATGAATCTACTTGGGATGATAATCCTGGGTCAAAAGAACCTCCTAATAATTTTGGCACTGCTTTACTCCAAGCAAAAAGAGGAACCAGAGAACTATACCAGAGCTTTAAAGCAACAAGGATACATTCTAAGTATGTAGTACTGCTCATTAATCAGCATTTATAAAATTGGGAAAAGCGGAGGGCAGAGGAAATATGCCTCACTAGCAAAGAAGCAAAGCACCTTCTGGAGAGTGCAACTTGGGACAAAGTGCACAGTAAATCAATTAGACTGCTGCCTTAGCAGACAGCCACATGAAGAGAAAGGGTGGCATAGAAATTGTGCCACGTCGGTTTCCTGCAGACCTAGGCAAAGATCTGGCTTCACTGCACCTGGTTGTTGGTGCACACTGATGGCACTAACTGGCAAATGCAGATCCTCAACCCTGCTCCCTACTCGCATTCTGACTCTCAACCTCTAGATTGGGACCTAGGAACAGGAAAACTTTAATAAGCGATTTTAAATAAGTATCCTGAGAATATTTTGAGAAATATCACAAACCATTCCCCTAGGAGACCATTTATAAAGCCTTAGAGGGGTACTTTGTATGGCTCTCTAAGTATCATCTTATCTAACCTAATTAAGTTGAGTCGATTCCTACTCACAGTGACCCCATGGGTGTGAGAGTCGGACTGTGCGCCACAGGGTTTCCAATGACTGATTTTTCTGGGGACCCTCTGAATGGACTCAGATCTCTGACCTTTCCGTAGCAGCCAAGCTGGCTAATGGACTGATTACTCCACTCAGATGCAAAAGCCCTCTCCACAACACTGACAATTATTCGATATATGAAAGAAATCTGGAGGTGGGAGGGGAAAAAAGGAAAGAAATACCAACATTCATACAGTAAAACAATTAATATATGCTTATAGAAGGTGGAATCTAGTAACTTATTTTAACAAAATGACTATTGTTTGAAACTTAGCGTCACCTCTTCTTGAAATTCACTTCCAATCCAGTGCAGCAAAAAAAAAAAACTACTGCCACAAGTCATGTTCCATTAATAGGGACAATGTATGGGATTTTGAGTCTTGGCAAAGCTATGTAAGAGCATAAAACCTCATCTTTCCCCTACAGAGTGGCTGGTGGGTTTGAACCATCCACCTTGCAGTCCAATACTTTACCCAGCAGGGGCACCAGGGCTCCTGACTCTAATACCATGCATGCACCTTCAAATACATTCACAAATCACAAAAAGGACAACGGTTGCATTAGGTTATTGCCCCCTCTTGGTTCTGATCAAAATTAAGAGCTATCAGAAGAACCGTTTGGAACACGGAATGTTCATGTCAGAAGCCCTGCTGGAGTAATGGTTAAGTCACCGGCTGCTACCCAAAGGGTCAGCGAATCAAACGCAGCAGCTGCTCTGCAGGAGAAAACCTGGTGGGGTCTGCACCTCCTTAAAGACTGACAGTTAATCCCTGTCCTGAGAGCATCACCGCGAGTACGAATTGACTTGAGAACAATGGCATTTGGGTAAAGTTCACTGGGAGCTTTAAGTTCAAGTACATTTGTTTAAAAAAAAAAAAAGGCTATATATTGCTGAGCATTACTGAGCACCTATCAATAGTGCTTGATAAGCACTATTATCAGAAATAAGAAAAGAAAATACTACCTGTGATGGCTCACTTCCAAGGCCTCCTGCTGAGCTGTATTGGCTCACTGCATGGGTCAAGGAACAGAAGAGATTCCAGTAGCACTGGCACGGCTGGAGGCCCCCAAAGATTCCCAAAATCTATAGAAGAGATAAGAAACAACGCACATCATTTTTTGTCAACTGTAAGAGCCCAGTCTAAGTGTCTCTTGTTTCCTACCCTCCCCTCTCCTACCACGGGGTGTGCAATGAGTGGGTTCTCCTCAGATTGCAGTTGCTGTCATTATAAAAAGAGAAGATAAGCAAAGAGCATATCTTTAGAGAGAAATTGGAGCACTAGGCAAAACCAAGAGACTCCTGCAGGGTAGCAGAGTGTAGACAACAATTCTTCCATCTTCTGAGAGGTGGTTAGTCATGATATGCTTCTTTCGGAAGAGAAGAAAAAGAGTAGAACTACGTAAACCTGCATGTCGCCACACTACTAAATTCATAATGACAGCGGGATAGAAAATAGCAGAGAGAGCTACAGATAACTTTTACAAACAGCTTTCAAAACCTGTCAATACTCCTGAAATCCTTCGATCTCTCCAGAGACTGATGGCTGAAAATTTCAGTTCCGGCCACCCTGTGTGAGCCAAGTCTACTATGCACGCAGACATGCAACTCCCATCATCGGGCCAAACCGGGAAGATACGTTTTATAGCACTAATGCAAACAGAAATCCCTACCCGACAGCTCGAAAAACATGAGTCTGAAGAAACCTGGTTGAAGCCGGCTGAGAAGGTGGCCTTGCCGAGTGAAACACGGGTAGCAAATGCTAGAGGTGTCCAGGGCAGCCAATGAGAGCCCCTCCAAGGCCATTCCCAGACACACTTACATACAAAAGGCAGGAACCGCCCGCTGTCATGGAGTCGATCCAGGTTCATGATGACAATATGTGGGTGAGTCAGAACAGAACTGTCCTCCACAGGTTTTTCAATAGACAATTTGGGGGAAGTAGATTGCCAGGTCTTTCTTCCAAGTTTCTTTTGAGTGAACTTAGACCTGTAACATTTCAGCTAGCAGCCTAGCTCGCTAACTGTTTACCCCACCAAGGGCTCCACAAAGAGACAGAAGCTAATGTAAATACCAGGCAAAACCTTAAGAAGTCACTGTTCTCAATCACATGCGGTGAAAGATAGAGAAAATTCCCAAGAAAGGATATCTTCTAAGAAAACAATGAAAACTATACTTAAATTTCAAAAATGGAAACCATTCAAATGTCCACTATCTGGAGAATAGTTAAGTACGCTTGCCACAACAACATAATTTACTGAACTGCAATTTTGTCAATCATTAAACATTGTATGAATTTATAATTAAATGGGAAGATGCAATTTAAACCATAAAATAAGAAAGACAAAGCAGAGGGAAATGTTGTAATTACATATGATCACAGCTACTTATGCAAAAGTTGGAAACAAGACACAACTTGCTTTGCCACGGCCATAACCATTAAGTGATAAGTTCCATCTATGGGCGAGAATTAAGGTGAGCAATTTAATTTGGAGTCTACTAAAACAAAAACGTCTTTTCAAGCTTCTGTAGAACAAGAATTTCCCAAGCCACAATGGGTCACCTCTTCATTAATATAATAATTTTTCTGCTGCATTCCAGTCCATTAGAAAACAGTTCTCCCAGAAGTCTGGTTTTGTGGTGTTTCTAAGAAAATTTTTTATGACTTTTATTGTGTTTAGGGGGTGTGTTTGTTTTGTTTTATTTGGACCTATAGGGAGGGCTCCGTAGACTTAGAATGTAATACCTTTTTTTTTTCAAATAATATCTAGTTTTTTCAAATAGATCTTGCAAAAATAATTGGGAGTGAGGGGGAAATAAAATTAAACCTTCTGCCCAGCTATTAGAAGATATAGCATCTGGGGTCTTAAAGGCTTGAAGATAAACAAGCTGCCATCTAGCAGGGAAGCAACAAATCCCACATAGAAGAAGCACACCAACCTGTGTGATCTTGAAATGTCAACGGGATCAGGTATCAGGCATCAGAAGACCCAAAACAAACAAATCACATCGATCTGAATGATGGGTGGGAAGAGTGGAGACCCAAATCCCATCTGTGGACAATTGGACATCTCCTCACAAAAAGGACACAAGGAAAGGACAAGCGATTCGGGGTGCAGTATAGCGCCAACGAAACATACAACATTCTTCTAGTTCTTTAATGCACCCTCCTAGCCCCCCCGCTATTGTGACCCCAGTTCTATCTTACAAATCCGGCTAGACTAGAGCATGTACACTGGTACAGATAAGAGCTCTCAACACACAGAATCCAGGACAGGTCAACCCCTCAGGAACAACAGAAATGTGGGTGAAGGGAAGCAGCAGACAGTGTAAGACATGAAAATAATAATAATTTCTAATATATCAAGGGTTCACGAGGGTGGAAGGGTGGAGGAGGGAGGGAAAAGAGGGGCTAATACTAGGCCTCAAATAGAAAGAAAATGTTTTGGAAATGATCATGGCAACATATGTACAAATGTGCTTGATACGATTGATGTGTGGATTGTTATAAGAGCTGCAAGAGCCCCCAATAAGATGATTTATAAAAAATAAATAAAAGTTTAAAAGAACCAAACCTTCAAACTGTGTCTGGTAGTGGCAGAGCATGAGAAGAACAGAGTAAGAAAGCATAGGACAATGTTACATATGCAAATAAACTAATTCTTCACAATTAAAATGATATCGTCAAATCCGACTTCCTCACTTTAGTCAATGAGTCATTTATTCAGCACTGGTAATTTACCTGTAAAACTCACAATCAAATCACAGGGCATTTAATCGCAAGAGGTTTTGAAAATAACCGAGTTCTATTTTGTCCGTAATCCCACACAAACCGTTTTATCATCATGTACTGCAGAGATACAGCCACTTGGGCTGCCTCTTAAGAATCACAGACTGCTTCCAGATTCATTTCAGGTGGTTTCAAGCCTGCTTCATCCAGCAACTCGTGAATTATGAAAGAGCATCCCTAATTCATGAAACACTTCTCTCAGCTTAGTGTCCATTATCCTATGTCCTCCCCTTACACACACACACACACACACACACACGGAGGCTTTTACTTGGGTAATAACAGGCACCAATAAGGGTTTAACTGAACACTACTCATATTTTACCATCATGGATTCCCCAGCAGCAGTGTGTCACCACTTCGAAGGAAGCCACGTCCTTTGACAGTAATGCACAGCATGACATCGAGAGCAAGGTTACAAGGAACGAGACTCAATTGAAAGGGCTCGCTAAAAATTCACTGGGTCATGATCATTCTCTTGGTTGTCATCTCGTTTAAAAACAAAATCCGTCTCCTGGTAAAAGTGGGGGAAAGTTGGCAGTGAACAATTCAGTCACACTCAAATCTCTCCCTAGGCAAGTGCTTTCCTTTTACCACAACGTTCAGCTTCCACATCATAAAATCAGATACAGGCACACAATCCGTCTGTGTAATAACTAATGCCACATCCCTAATTTCAACAGAGGAGCAACATTTGGAGCTCATTTGCAGATGGCATAAATTCACTGAACTTATACCACTACTGCGTTGTGCTTGGAAATTCACCAGTAGGTAGAAAATGCGCGCGCACGCACACACAACCCGCAAAACCCCCAAACCAACCCTGTGCTTGTGGGCAGCATGGCTGCCAAACAATTCCTTGTAACTTATGCTTAGGCAGCACTCCGCACCCAACATCTAGGAGCCTCACAGTAAGCAATGAAAGCTCTCACCTTTGCCTACATGTACCCTTGGATAAACAGAAGGTAGGTAGAACTGGCCCTTTCAAGTTAAATGGCCATTAAGCATATGCATGTACTACTGGTGCTGGCTGGCTGAGAAACCCACACGGGCACTTTTACCCTGTCCCGTAGGGTCACCATGAGTCAGAACAGACTCGATGGCAGGGAGGGACTGGTGCTGGTACACACATGTAGAAGTACCACTACTTTCCCAGGGTCAGATCATAATAAGGGAGGTCAAAACGCTCTGCTGCGAAGGTTCCATTTCACACATTCATAGGTTTACTCCAAGCCAAGTGTGCTTACGCCACAAATACAAGCTTCCACACCAGGACAGAAGCGAATTCCAGTACAGTGGACAAATTTCCACTCTTCTCAGCCTGTCTGGTGATTGTTCCCTTGACTTTCTCAGCTGTCAAGGTGGTGAAAGGAGTATAGGATCTACTGTAAAACTATAAAGTGTAACCGGACACATGTGACCTTTAAGCACCTCACACAGAGAGAAAATAAATAAAGTGTAGGTTCAGGTTTAAAATTTCACTAAGAGTTATATTTGAGAGCTTGACCAACATGTTGCAAGATTTTAATAAAACAAGACCACCTAAACGAAGTCAAATGAAGCCTATTCTGATATTTCAGAAGCCAAGGTAAAGGCATTAAAAGAGAGTTTTCAAAAAGAGTATTTAAAAGACACCTGGCTTTATAAAATTCAGAAGAGCAATAGTGCCCACTCAGAAATGCCTTAGAGTGGATACACCAAACTCACTGCTGACCCATAGTGACCCCTGTGCTTTCCTGAGACTGTAACTGTGGATGGGAGTAGAAAACGGTCTTTGTCCCACAAGGCTGCTGGTGGTTTCCAACTACCAACCATGCATACAGCAGCAGCCCAATGTGGAAGTGCTATGCCACCAGGACTCCTTCAGAGTAGGTAAGTGAAGGGATTAAAAATAACATTCGCTTTTTTTTAATCGTTTATTCAGAGCTCTTACAGATTTCATAAGACTCCATAGTTAAATCACAGCAAACAGTCTTGTACAATTGCTACCACAATCTGTTTCAAAACATTTTCTTTGTTCTTGAACTCCTTGACATCAGCTCCCTTTTATCCCCTCCCTCCTTGACCTTTACCCCCCGCTCCCCCAGGAACCCTTATTTATGTTTTTTAGTGGGTTTTTATGAATCGTACACAGTCCAATATATCCATTTGCATACAATTCTGTTGTTCCCTCCCCTCAAGTGGGGTTATGCAGTCATCAATACTATCAGTACCCCACCCCAACCCCTCCTCGCTTCCCGCACCCTCGGAGAACCATTACTCCTGTTACTGTTTCTGAAG